TTTTAACTATTTTTGACTTCATTTAGCTATCTTTAAGAGTAAGCGAATCATTACGCAAGTCGAAGCAGAATCGTGTGTGCAATTCTAACGACTAATAACATAGTAATTCGCTTTTGAGAATTATTGTTAAAATTTTCATAATAGTGCCGGTATTATGTTTATTAATGTATTGCATATATATTTATGTACATTTAATGTGTACATGTAGATCATTTTTTTTTGATTAATGAATTTAGAAGTTCATTACAAGAGGTGTTCGCATGTTGGCGATTTAGATTTATGTGAAATTGAGAAGATATATCCACATGTTATATTCATAATTAGATAATATCCGGTTTTTTAAACCTAGTGAGAGTGGTAAGGCGAATGTATTTTTCAATTCACATGCAGAGTATTTTAATTTAGTTATTACAATTTTAAATATTATTAATTTAGAATGTGATTTTATTAATAATGAATGCAAGTATAACAATAAAGGTACGGTTTTTTAAACAGGCAGTCTTTTAATAATATACGAATAAAAGAAATAAATAGACGAATTTTTTGAGAGGTTGATCTTAAACGTTAACATTTGTTTTTATAAACTTATTAACAAATATGCCGTGTTATGGAAATACTATCGTAAAAATTAATCAAGTTCGACAATCCATAAGAGACAATATTAGTTCTATTATCGTATGGGCTATTGGCACTTATCCTGTCGAACAGGAAGATAATGATATCGAATTAGTTATGTTTGTACCTATCGATTCGGATGAAAGGGATCCTGATAGTCAGGCAATATTCGAAAAAAATAAATATTATATTATCGGTGGAAAGGTTGTACCTGAACATTACCGTGGCGCTAAAAGGTTAAAGGTATTAATATAATTTTTTTATAAAAAGAAAGGTATGCAATAATTATATACTTATATTTATTTACTTAGATGACGGTCGCAACTTCAACACATGTTAATATTAATAAGGAACTTAATTCGAATAATTGTCCATTAAAAGTATCTCTCGTTGGTGTCGCTCAAAATGAACCTCAGGAAGTTAGCAATGACGAAAATGCCATCATCAAGACTTTAGTCAACGATTATACCACTCAGGAGTATAATTTTGTAGTTAATATTACTTATCAACACTCTAATTCGCGATTTAAACATTTTAAAAATTCTATTCGGCCAAAAGAATCTATGATATTTATCGTTGGTGAAATGGAAATTATCCAAGACGAATTATACGTTTACGCAAGAGACATCAATTATGTTGGTATGCATTTATCAACCAAAAGGCAACTATCTGAGTCCAGTAATTCACAGTTATCAGTAGCATCACCTAAGTTGGTTCGTTCTAAGCTTTTGGCTACGCATCGTAATATTACTGGGGAACC